TTCCAGTTGCCGAGTCCGATCTTCTCTGCATCTTGTGTTAACCCGTCCATCCACCTCAGCTTTGGTCTACCCAATCTTCTGATTCCTAAGGGTTGCGCTGTTAGAATCTTTTGTATCATGTTCGATTTAGGGGCCAGGGCTATATGTCCTGCCCACTGCAGGAGGTTTCGCTTAATTATAGTGGTAATATCTTTACCAACAAACGTATGCTTGTAGATATTCTGCAGTTTAAAGTTATATTTACGCCTCCATATTTCGTTCTCACAGACTGTTCCAAATATCTTGCGTAGCACCGTTCTTTCAAACATTGATAGAGCAGATTCAACTGTTTTAGTTAACGTCCATGCCTCTGATCCATATGTGAGAACAGGAACCATCCGTGTTCTATACAGCCTTATATGAGTTTTTTGAGACAGACGTTTATTAGCTAAGTACTTTATAAGACCATGATAACACCTGTTTGCAATTACTATTCGCCTTTTTATTTCCTCAGATGTGTTATTATTGGGGTTAACCAATGTCTCTAGATATATAAACTCTTTGACTGCTTCGAAGTTTTGGTCATTGATGATTAAATCTGCATCAACATTTCCAGTTCGTGTGTTTGTGTTAGTCGCCATGAATTTGGTTTTATTTTGATTTATATGTAACCCCATTCGTTCTGCTGCTGCTACTAGCTTGGTTAGGATTTCCGCAGTTCTCGCCCTGGTTTCCCTTAATTAAATATTGTTCCCCTGGTATCTAAATTAGCGTCTCGTACAACTTTTTCTAAGGCGACATTAAAAAGCTGACACGCCAGTGCATCTCCCTGCCTTAAACTTATGTATTTCATATGGAGTTGACAAGTCGTTTTGAATTTTTACTGATGATAGCATCTTCGACATTGCCACTTTTATCAAACATATAAGGTTTTTTGGAATTCCTAACTAATTGACAGCGTTGTAAAGACTTGGTCTTAAGACACTGTCATATGCCGCTTTAAAATCGACAAAAATATGATACATATCTATGTTAAACTCTTGCGCTTTTTCGAGGATCTGTCGTAGTGTAAAGATCTGTTTAATGGTTTATACGTCCACGCCTGCATATACGTATAAGGCTTCAATCTTTCGTGCAAAATGTTTGACAATATCTTTTATGCTGTATTTAGGAGACTTATTTCGCAAATTGCAAAAAATTGCAAAAGAATGGCAAAAGATAGGGAAGCGTGGAAGCAATTGGAGGAGGCCTATGTCCAACATTGGATAAATGAAGGCTGAAGAAGAAGAAGAAGATTCTGCGGTAATTATTGCATTCCAGTTGGTTTCCCTTTTTGTGTAACGGGAAAATTAAGCCTAAGCTCCATTCTTCAGGCATTTGCTCATCAGACCAAATTTTACAAACAATTTTTAGCATCACCTTGGTGAGCTACTCTCCACCATGCCTAACACTGGCTACTCACACTGGCAAATTTAAAATTAAATTCTATGAAATGAACGAAATATCTTTAAGGGAAAAAGAAATAAGAATACGACAATCAATTCATTTTACCTCGAATGACAGGTTTACCTGTCGCTATTTCTCGACTAAACTCATTATCTATCGTTGATTGTACTACCCAGGCGTTTAGAGTCCATGAGACTTTGGAAAGTCTCATTACCAATTGTTGTTGGATTTATACATCGACTAATCTTGTGATACTTTAAGAAACTTAGTCTTTTGAACGTTTATGATTGATCCTTCCTGTCAATCATCTGTCTTGAGCTCTTTGCACTTTGCCTTTATTTTACTGCTATGTCTGTTCAATATAATTCTGTCATCCGCATGCGCCATACGTATTCAATAACCTTTAAAAATTAAATTATCAGATCCATTTTATGCCCGTATAGAGACAAGCAAAAGCAACTGGAGAATTTACAATAACCAAAAAATACAAACACTTATTTTCGATATATATACACTCAAATAAAACAAGTTTTTTTGTCTCGTTCGTTTTCCATTTAAAACATGCTGTTTCTTTTGGTATCTAAGCACACTTCGATATTGTTTTACCGCCAGTTCTCCTCTTCTCAATATAAAAAATTATCATTTTTAAGACCACAACTGGTCATGAATGTTTTTTTGCTAAGTTTTATTGTTTTTATCATTGTGCAGTTTCTCGTAAATGTATAGAAAAAGTGGCTTTTTATAAACCACCATTTGGGACATTTAAGGTTTGTTAAAATCGTTAAAAGTTGGCGAGTCTTTTCAGTATAAAAGGTCCAATCAACCCGGCATTCATAGACGTCGTACCCGCTCTTTTGCCGGACAGTACTCCTCTCTCAGGCTTTGTCCTCGATGCTTAAGTGAGATAGTTCTCACTTCCACCAGACTTCGTTCTCGTGCGAAAAAAAAAAATAGATGTTAATACACCTCCCGAAATAGCAACACACGACAGTCAGAAATGCCGGAGCTCTGTGAAAGGGTAAAAATCCCAACGAGTTATGCAGCCATTTAAAGTAAGTCTCAACATTCCAGAGATTTTGTGTCCAGAGTATAATTAAGAGTAACGCATTTTCTACTCGTAAATCCAGAATACATCAATAGTGAGCACACTATTTCAAAACTACTGCTTCCAAAGTTGCTTTAAGTGTATTTGTTAGACTATCTCAAGGATGCAAATCCCTAGATTCCTCATAGAAGTGCCGCAAAGTTTCCAAAGCTAGTTTTCTGAAGTTCGCGAACCCATAACTGCTTCCTAATTAACCGGAAACGAAGCTCGAAACATATGCATTCAGGCACTTTAATGATTTATTCAACTCGCTAAATCTGAGTCAATGGCGCTCTGTGTAGGGGTCAACTGTCGTAGTCTTTGTGTAAAATCGTTTTCAGTTTAAAATACTACACAATTGCTGTAAAAGAAAAGAAAAATAGAGACTATTTAAGATAAAAACGGTAACAATATGGAAGAACTTATTAAGGAATTTAAAACCAAATTTCGGACAGATGTTACTGAAGAAGTGATGTGAGAAATACTAGAATATTGCATTCATACTTGATTAAAACAGGAAATCGGGTATAAAACTCCCCTAGTTCCAATCTCTTTCTACTTTCTTTAATAAAAAATTTGGCCGTCCTTTGACTTTTTACCTTTTTTATCAACAGTCTTATTAATCTTTTTACCAATCTCTAGTATTTCTTCATCTATCCTGATGCCAGTTAAGTTGTTATATAGATTTTCGTTTATGCTGATGATTATCTGATGATCTATATGATTTAGTTTTCTTTATATTTACTGTGAAACCTATATCATGCACTCACTCATTTTCTCGTTTTTGTTCCCAATTGTACTCTTCTTCTTCTTCTTCCTTCTTGTATGTAGTACGTAAGATAGAAATTTTTCCACGTCACATGGACTATCATAAAATTTAGTTACCTGCTATCCTTAGAACAGTAGGCTAGGGATTATTCAGCTGGTCATAGACGTACTTTAAGGGAATTACATTATTTGTTTCAGTTTATTAGATATTTAAACCATTTTCAAAGCATATTATATTTATATAAATCGGTTTATTTTAGTAACCTTATGTATGGTTATTTTTATCATTTTAATAATGACCCAACAAGAAATAAAAAAACTTTTTAATATCATAATCCCTGGAGATACACTATAATAGAATGTTTAATTTAATTATATCGTATAAAATATCTCCTCTGCCGTATTTCCCGTCGGGTTTGTATTCATCAAATCGAAAACCCGAACCTAACAGATTAGTACATACACCACTGACTTGCATCTCTTGCTTATACCTTGTTAACATTGGTTTATTACACCTACATTATTGAAGTGTAGTTTGCCTAACCACTAGCATTAACAGATGGAAATGCATCACTGAAATATATCGAGAAAGTCATTTCGTATTTATATTTTGAAATTGTCAGCTATAAATATTTAATGATGTACCATTATTATTGGTCTATGTTCGCATTTATTTATAACTTTCTAATATTTAGAGCGTGAGTAGATTTTAACGAACAGATTGATGTGTAAAATGTTTAATGTATACCTGGGCCAATACACAAGAGGATATAAATCTGTACCTGAAAGACTAGATTTTGGGACTGGAAATAAAGCTGTAGACGATAGGTTGGAGTTAGCAACAGCATTATTAGTAGTCACTGAAGGTTTTCACTCCGATTTCGTTAAACCTCCATCGATTTTCATAAAAATTGGTGAGTAGTTAGAGCAGGGGTCGGCAAGTAATTTTATGTGGAGTCCGGATACTAGAAGAAAATTTGAACAAGATCCATAAAAAAAAAATGATAACATTTAATGACAAGATGTTTATTATTTTGGTACATTCTTAATGATAAAACAAAAGACCTTAAATTAATGCGAAAAATTGCACCAATTGCACCAATGGTTATAGTCTCTTTGGTCGTTACCTTTCTTCTTGGTTTCTTGTACTGCACAAATATCAATGTTTCTATTTATCAGTTCTTCTATTATCTCTTGGTCTTTGTTGTTGACAGAAGTAATGTTTCATGTTGCTAATTTAATTGAGTGCTTATTTTTCCTTTTCGTTTTCCTTTTCTTTGCCTAGTTCGTCACCTTAGGTTCCATCTGTTTCAGAGGCTTTATATCGGTTCTTTGAGCCTTGTGTCCTTTTACAATAGGTAGGATGATAACCTGGCCTATCAACCTCCCTCTGTTATCCGGGCTTGGGACTAGCTGTGGGCTTCTGAGCTACTTAACTATGAGTAAAAAACTATTGGAATAATAGCAGAAATATTATAAATATAAAACTAGGGTAAATTACCAAACAATTCAATATTTATTCGAATAAATTCCCAAAGTACTACATTTTATTTTGCACTACCTAAACCGATAAAAACAAGGATGTTAAACATTTGAAAACAGTTTAATTTTAAAGCAAAAAAAACGACTAATAAATATAAAAATCAATTTTTTTAATAACCATTCTGAACCTGGTATTTTGTTAGCGTTTGTGTGTATTCTTTTACCAAACAAATATCCTTACCTTCCATGACTTGGTAACGGGAAGCCGTCTAAAGTCCAGGATATCTGGGGAGTCGGATTTCCTGAAGCACTACATTTAAGAGATACAGCAGGGCCCGGTTGCAGAGTTTGTTCGATAAAACTGTACAGCAGAATTGGAGGAGCATCTGAAACAAATAGTAGAAGTTTTACCTAGGGCGTAGTGTTCGACTGTGATGTACATTATATCAACTAATTATTTTTTCTCATTATTGATTTAAGTCTAATCCTTCTACTTTCTCTATTTTGTGTGTATACATGGTGGTGCATCCTCTGAAAACTACTTAATATTTCATTTTTAAGTTGTTTTCTTTACACGAATATATAAGGTCATTAACACTACAATTTAAAAATAACAGGAATTATACAGGGTGTTCCAAAAATATGGGTTGTCGAAAGTTGTTTTTCATTATAGAATACTCTATATTTGATTATATTTTTAAATTGTCCTTAAAAAATAACCTTTACTTTTACAAGACTGCCATATAAAGATAACAAAGTCAGAAAGAATGGAGAAGTTTAAGGGAGGCCTATGTTTAGCAGTGGACGTGATAAATGAAAGCTGGATGATGATGATAATGATTGAAGACTTCGTAATTTTTAAGCTTTAACACTAATTGTTAACCCTTAAACGGACATACTGTAGCATTTCTAAATTCTTTGGTATATATTGAAATCTCCTCGTATATGTTAAAATACCGAAGAATAGTTTTAGAGTATTTCTGTTTCTTTTTAAACGAGTTAAAATAACGAAAAAGTATTTCAATCCTTTTTGCGTCGCCGTGGTCGATAATAAACCATTTTAGAGTTTGTTTATTAATTACAGATGTGTACTTCTTCGGTATTCTTTGATCGAAGCCGCTTTAGGATATTTTGCGTTCCCGTTCCCATTTAAGTGTTTTGTTAACCTATACCAATGTGGGCGAATGAATTTTAAAGATTATTACATAACTCTCGCTGAAGCAATTGTCGGGAGCAGTTGGTTTCATGTTAGTTCAAATTTTTTGTCAAATTTGTAAAGATTTTTCGTTTTTTTTCTTCCTTTTTATGGAACATGTGTAGCAGTGTTACGTTTAATGTATAGTTACACTTTAAGTGAGGTTTGAAAGATTGGCCATTGAAACCAGACATGTTTAGTTAATCGCAAAAAACTGGCAAATTTGTTGAAAAAAAGTGATTTTTACCCAATGTAATATGTCAATTCTGAACAGGTAATTACTGTTTTTTATTTGCAATCCGTCTCTTATTAGAGATATTTGTAAAACGGCGTTTACAATAACTTTAAAAAGTACCCACATGTTCCATTGTTGAATTTTTTAGGAGACGAGTTTCCAGGGTTGCGTCTAGTGTCAACTTCAACCTCAATATTGTTTTGTCCTAAGAAGCCATTTCAGAATACTGTTTTACAGTTTGGAGATGAATTTAATCGTGTGTCAGGTGTTAGGGCGTGGGCTAGCTTGCTGTCATATATTTGTTCTCAGTTTAAAGATTTAGTATTGACATATTATGATAATTAGCACTATTTTTGACATTTGAGATTAATAAATGATATTTTGTCTGCTTTAAATTGTTGCCCAGCAACAATTGTAAGTATTGTAGTATCTCCAACTTCAAGAGTTGTAAACGCATAGGACAGAGTAAGTCTGTTTTGATATTTTGCAATTTTTTGTATTATCTATATTTGTAACTGTTTATGGTGAGATAACAATAAATGTGTAACTTTTTTTCTAAACCATTGTGTTTATTTATTAAAAAAAAAACTTTGTGTTTTTAGTAAGGAAAAACCTTTTCTTTCATCCAGCAAGAAGTTTTCTTAAAGCGGCGTCCTTATTTCAAATAGTTAGAGAACCTTTTTGTGTTTTTTTCCAGGAGATTCATGTAAGTACGCCTTTGTTTCATTTTTGTAGTTGCTCCAATCCAATCCCATTGTTTCATTCACTTATCCACGACCCAGTTCTCCAAATAAACTCTGAGCGCCATTTGCCAACGTTTCGATTTGTTAGCTTACTCTATCTCCACCGCAGTAAATTCTGTCCCCAATATTCAACCCTAAATAATAATACCCTTTGTGGTAAGCAAGATATTCGTTACAATACTGGTCTATGAGACCTAGTATCACATTATGCTGAACTTTGGCATCCCTGTTTGAGCTGCGGTTCTGCCCTTCTGAATATGCTTCCATCAACTACCGAGAAAATTAATTATGGTTTTTAAAATTGTCGATATGTATATATTTTTAATTTCAGGTCTTTTCTATGACTATCATTAAAAAAAATGTGAATGATATAAAATAACTTACCCCCCAGTTGCAGTTCGGCAGCAGCTTGGGCGGTATCACCTTCCGCTCTTCGTACGACACACTGGTACATTCCTCGATCTTCTCTTCCGATATTATTTACAATGAGCGTCTCGCTAGAGCCCCTTCCGGTGCTAGGAAGTTGTCGACCATCTTTGTACCACGTTACTAAGTGTGGACCGCCACTTTGAGAAGAAACTACGCATCTGAAAGAAATATATTAATTTGAAGCTATGACATTATTTTATTCTATGTTATCTTCTATATTTATTGGGAAGTAATAATGCTTTTTAATTGAAATATCTATGTATTACACTTTATATTACAAACACCCACTTCTTCTACTTCACCAAGAAATCGTTTTTAAAACAAAAATTAAACATTTTTTTTTGTTATTGGATAATACAAAAATTTTCCAATTAGTCAATTTGATCTGACTCATTCATTAATCGTAATTCAGATATACATTTTATATTTTTAAGTACGGGAATATAAAATGGTATTTCTAAGGTGCATTTCTGGGACGACTTTATTGCAGGATATATTTTAGTATGTAATTATCTTGAAAATAACTGTGAGAAAAAATAACAGCACCTGGTTTGTCTGTAAAATGACAAAACCACATAATTGTGACAGCAAAATTCTTCCGTTAGTATTGTCATTGTGTAACGATGAGTCCAAGCCATCACCGTTAAACCAGCGTGCGCGCGAACCAACCCATGTAGTAGGAGTGTATCGACAGTAGAAAGGGCAAAACTAATTACCAAGCTCCGCTATATAAACCGCAACATTTCCTCATAGAGGCAGAATCGACAGGTGTTGACTGAAAGTTTTCTTCTTCCCTACCCCGGCTTGTGGACGTGTTGAGTTCACAAGTTGTTCCGTTCCATACCGTCACCCGAAGAGCGTGTTGAGCTCTTCATTACCCGTACTCCGAAGCAGTCGTGTTGAGACTGTCGAGGAGTGTCCTATTAACCTTAATCACTTAAGGGACGTGCTGAGTTCCTTTCTTTTCTTTGTACCTATCGTCCGCTGTTATTAAATCGATACAACGTTCACGTAAAATTTCAAAAACACACTCGCTTGCCGATAAGACTATTTTCATACGACAAGGTCAAACTTAATTTGAATAAATAGGCCAGGTACTGAGAAGACTAAACCAAATTGTAAATATGTACATAAGATTTTTGTCAATTTGATTTAAGGAAACAATAAAGTTTTATTTTTATTTTGAACTCTGTCTCTGACTGTCCAAAAGCTACCCGGATAGTGACTCCTACGAGAGGACGTCACAATTGTAGATCATGAGGAAAAACCATGAAAAATCCCTGGTAATGTCCTAAAATGTTTACGTAAATATAAATGAATAAATAAAAAAGTATTTGGTTTTGTATTTGGTTGATTTGTAATGCTAAAATCTCCTTTTTTTCTTTATATAAGCAATTTTGCTTTTGCTTTCATCTGCAAGTTGTTGCCTTTACGGAAGATTGCCACTCCATTTCTTGCGCGGTCGACCAATATTTTTCCACCGGTTGGTGATTTCTCCCTTATATTTTAATAACTTTTTTATACGCCGTTCTACTGATCTGAATGTTAAATTATTTTTTTGTGTACACTCGCTTATTTTGTGTACATTAAACTTTGTTCTGATTTCAACTCCTCACTCGATTCCCCCTCAGCTCATTTTTTATCATTCTTTTAAGTATTCTAATTTTATATTTCCAGCATCCTCCGTGTTTTGTCTGTAGGGGTCTTGCTTATTTTATACTGATCTTGTATAGCTCGTATTTTGCAAAAAATATGGATTACAGTGGATATTTATTAAACGCAGAACAAAGGTAATAGCTCAGCCAATAAGGTAAGGCAAAAATATGGTCGACACAAGAAATAGACATTGAGATAGAAGATCGAAATCTGCAATAAGATGACCTTTTTTTTTTCGTCTTATTAGAGCGTGGTCTGGAATCTTCAAAATACTCAAGAATCTCATGATTCCGCCCAACTGACCTTAGTGCAGAATTCGTTCTTTGTACTCCCACGCTAGTTTTCGAGGTACTTTAAAACGCCCTCTTATTACCGAGCCTCATCCGACTGCCTACCTGCTAAACCAGACCCCCCTCCGTCAGTCAGCGATCCAGAAGCGAAATGGCCGCTGTAAGGTCGGAATCACTACCGAAACACTACGTTTATTTATCCACAGACTGTCAGCAAAGAGCCATCCTGTCCCTTTTTCTTTGTGTCACTTTTTTTGCTCTCAAAAAAAAACTTTTTTTTGAGAGTAAACCCGTTCCAGATAGCAAGTGGAAGACCCTCATCGCTCCTAGTACGGCATCATTCCCAGACCGGCATTTCCTTCTTCCCCACCGTCTGACTCACACAGTCTAACTCATACAGTCTGACTCACTTTTCTACCTTTAACTTCCAACATATTTCCCATTTACCTTTACCGTTGGCTCAGCTGTCTTTCTTCTTGATCACTGCACAGAATAGTTGTGTACACTAGTCCAACCTGCTTTATTTTCAATCAATCTCTAGATCATTTCTCTCACTGAAACAAAATGCACCTCTCTCGCTCTCTCTCTCTTTCAATTCTCGTTGTTTTTACTTTGCAACTGTTGTGGTAACATCGTATGTATCACAGTGTCCAAGGGTTCGCAGTATAGGCATCCATTCATGTTAGCCTTTCCGAACCTAGGGAGGAAGGCCCTAAACAACCCGTGTCTTGTGCACCTGCGCACTGCGTTAGAAATTAATTAAGTCACCTGACCTGTGCCCACAGTCCACCCAATCTCTTCTGTTCGGAATCAGCGTCTTCGTCAACTGTGCCACATCCTTCGGTTTGTTCCATTCTTTTTGCCATCTTCAAATTTAACTTTCCCTTTCTTGCCTTCTTTCAACCATAATAAGGTCTAAGCTTCTTCTTTCATGTCTTTCGCTGTATGCTGTCAACACATGCAGCGAAAGACATCCAGTGATGGCCCACAAGGATGCTGCAGATACAGTCCGTAGCGCATGCTATTTTCAATAGACTTCTCTCTCCACTCATGTCATGAACCTGCAAGTAGACGACCTGAAATATCGTGCCCGATGAAAGCTAGAATGCGACAAGCGGGGACAGCTGTAATAAACTTAATAAACTTTTGTTATACTTTGTTTTATTCTGTGCCTTTATTACAATTTTTTTCCAGGATATGGCCAACAGCCTTCTAAAAAACGGTTAAAACATACCATCCGGTACATTTTTTATCATTTAATAAAACATCTCTTCTTTTTATGGAACTTTAAAACTTTTTAACCTAAATCGTGGATGCATTTTCTAGATATACGAGAAAAGTGATTGAAGTCTTTTATAAAATATTAAAGTCCGTAGGAAACTTTAATAAACAGAAAGTGATAGCTCTTGGAGAAGTGGAGACAGACTAACTAAAATAATGCATGTTCGTTTCGAAAAATAAAAAAGAATGTATGAAGAAATAAAATGTTTTCCAGAATTTACTTAAACAATTCGTTTAAATTTTATGTTGTCAATATTTTATTATATACATGAATACGTGACATGATACAGGTTAAAAAGGCAGAAGGGCGAGTGTTAAATGGCGCAACAAGTAATCAGAGAAGACTAACTCATAAGTTGTGGTAGACAATTAGTCTAAAAGAAAAAGACTAATTACACTGTGCGGTGATGAACCTGCTGTAAGATTTGGAGAGATAGGTTTTCTTCAATGTTTAGCAGTTAAGAAAGAATAAGAATATGTCTTTAGTTAAATATATCTGGAGCCACTGTCAAAGGCAGTTGGTTTCAAAGTTAGGTTAGGTTTGGGAGATATTTTGTTGAGAGCAGACGCAGTGTGGTTAGTCGGTAAGAACCAGCAAATTTGTTGTGAAAAAGTGAATTATACTCAATGTAATGGGTCAGTTTTCGCAAGAGTAGTCACTGATTTGGTTTCGAGCCGCCTTTCATTTAAGAAATGTGTGAAACGGCGTTTCCAAGAAATTTGAAGGATAATCACTTGGTTCCATTGTGTCCAGTTGCGTTCCAAATTTTAAAGAAGCCGAGTTTTCAAAATTTGTTTATTTGCAGAGTTTCAAATTTTTTGAATTGTTTATTGTTTTTTCTATGTAACATTCTTGAGTTGTAATAAATTTGACTTTTAAATTTTGTGTATTATTAAATAATCAATTATTATTATTATTATTATTTATTATTTACAATAGATTTGAGCAGGGGTTGCAAAACCCATATGCCCATGTGACTACAATGTTATATAGTGTACAATTAAATTGTTACATTACAGTAGTTACATATTAAGCACTAACTAACTAAATGAATATACAATAACATAGGTAATAGCAAGTGTTTAGTACAAATTAAATGTTCAACTATGGAACAAAAGGTCATCCAGTTTATTTTTGAAAATATTGACAGATGGAGCATCTATGATCTCAGCCGGAAGGCTATTCCATATCGAGAACACTCGATTACAGAGAAAAAATTGTCTGGTTGTTGTTAAAAAAGTTTCCTTTTTAAACTTAAGTTTGTGGCCACGAAGACGATTGTCATTGTCTATTATGAACATATTCCCCAAATTTCCAAAGTTGTATTTTACTATCCGAAACGTAATAATTAAATCGCCTCGAAGTCGACGTTGTTCAAATGTAGTGAGATTGGCCATATTCAGTCTTTCTGTATACGTAGGTCTTGAGCGACCAAAAGACATCCTGGTGCACTGCCGCTGTACGTTTTCGAGAATATTACGATCGCGCACTAATACTGGACACCAAACAGTTCCGCAATATTCCAGAACTGGACGAATGTACAGTTTATACAGATGAATTGAGCTCATAAATGACATTTTCGCAAACGTTTTATTTAGTAGATATAATTTACTGTTAGCTTTTTTAGAAATATGCAAAATGTGTTCCGACCAACTTAGATTGTTATTAATTATAACGCCTAGATCATTATGCGATTTCACTGTTTTTAACACGCGCCCATTAATAGAGTAAGGAAGACACGGATTATTTTTACCCATGTGAAGAACTACACATTTTTCCACATTAAGAGGCAGCATCCAGGTAGAGCACCATTCCGATATGCAATCAAGGTCATCTTGTAGTAACTGGAAATTTACGGAGGGATCGGAAAATAGCTTCGTGTCATCTGCATAGAAAGCATTGTTGCATTTAATATGAAATTGTAGATCACTTGAGTATGCTATGAATAAGAGTGGGCCCAAAACTGATCCTTGCGGTACCCCACTTAAAACCGTTCTCTCAACTGAGAAAGAGTCCCCAACTCTAACACAAAATTTTCTATCTGTTAAATACGCGTCGATCCATTTCAGTAGTTGACCACGGATACCAAGGTGTTCCAATTTATGTAATAGTCTTCGTTTTGGAACTCTATCGAAAGCTTTAGCAAAATCGAGGTATATAATGTCCACCGGGGCTTTTCTGTCTAATGCTCTTGACCATTCATTGACACACCAGAGAAGATTTGTCATTGTAGAACGTCCTTTGACAAAACCATGCTGCTGTTCTGGTATAACCAGTTCATTTTGCAGAAAATCAGAAATTGTCTCGGCAATAATAGTTTCCATTATCTTAGATATTATAGGTGTTAAGCTGATAGGACGATAGTTATTAGGATCCAGTTTGTTCCCTTTTTTAAAGATCGGTGTTACAGATGCGGTTTTCCATATAGGAGGCAAAATATGTGTGGTGAATGATAGGGACATAATCACATATAGTGGATAAGCTAAAGCATCAGAACATTTCTTTAAAAATAAAGAAGATATTAAGTCGAGACCAGGAGACGAATTATTTTTTAGGCTTTGAAGATGATGTTTAACTTTTTCAGGAGTAATGATTATATTTTCAAGAGAAGAAGAAACTCGTGACGAAGTAATATTAGGGAACTGATAATTAGTGGGTTCAACAGAGAAAACCTTGGAGAAAGTACTGGCGAGAAGTTCGGCATTCTCAAAGTTATTTTGGGATATATCCCCATTATCATTTTCCAGTAAAGGTATAGAAACTTTTGTTGTCAACGAAGATCTAATATACTTGTGCAATTTTTTACAGTTATTACTGATGGCTATACTCTCTTCGTAGGCAACACGAGCTTCATGTAAAGATTTCTTTAAATCTCTGGCAAAGTCTCGATGAATTTGTAAATCCTCTATGCGATTTGTACGTCTATATTTGTTCCACAACTTTCTTTTATACTTGATCAGATATATTAATTCCCCATTAATCCAAGGTTTTATGTTATTTTTGTATATGGTTTTTTTGAGGGTATTTTGGTTTTTGCATAAATTAACAACCTGTAAAAACTTATCCCAGAATACAACTGGATTCCTTATGTCGCCGAAAACATCATTCCAATCAATGTCGGTCAGTTGGCGATTTGCATTTTCAAAATCAATTATTTCATATACCGTTTTATTAACATTAGGATTAGGAGTACAGTACTGTAAGTTAAACTGAATATGAAACGTTATGACTGCATGATCTGAGTTACCTACTGGAGAGCTTATTAAGGGATGTGTTAATAAATGGGGATCATTAGAGAATACCAAGTCCAAAATAGATGGTAAATTATTGATTCTGAAACGAGTCGGCTCCGTTATGAATTGATGTAAATTAGAATTTAGTACAAAATCTGTAAATGCGTTTTTGGAAGTTGTTAAGCCACTAGGTGGATCAGTTATAGGCCACGAAATGTCTCTAAAATTAAAGTCTCCAATAACAATTAAATTCTCTAGCCTAGACAGTTCATCAAGTGATGCGATAAGGGACTCATCATCTGCTAATCTAGAATCACCAGACCGATAAACGCATACTAGGTGAAAAACAAAAGAGTTTTTATGACATATTTTTAAGCCAAGAAGTTCCATATTAGGGACAGTAATATCAAGAGATGTAACAGAGAAATTATTAGTAATTTCTGAAGACAAGTAGATACAAGTTCCTCCTCCACGCCGATTACGACGATCACACCTATAAAGGTAATAATTATCAATGTTATAAAGGGAGTCAGGATCATTTGGTGTTAACCATGTTTCAGTGATAAGAATTATTTGAGGATTTAGGTTTTGAATGTTGCATAAAAATTCATTAAATTTGGAATTTAAAGTAGCTAGATTAGTATAGAAACAGAGCCAATTATGAAAACCTGAAATATCAGAATTAGTGACGAAAGTTTACAATTTTCGGGACACCTTGTATATATTTTATGGTTAAATTTTCCTCTCCATTCGATTTTCTCTGTTCCAGTTCCACTCGAAGTTCTTTTAGGCATTCTATTTGATTTGGAGTCTTATCGTCGATAATGGAAACGTTTTTTAAAGAGACGTTTTGTAAAAGTTTCTTTTTGTTCTTCAAAATATGTTTGGCTTCATGTTCATTTTGCATAATGACCTTTATCATCCTAGGGAAGCGATTGTTTGGTTTTCCAGTCCTGAAAAATGTGACAGGAGTGGAGTTAGACATTACAGCATCTAAAATATTTTTTAATATTCCATCATCGTGACTTTTCTTTGTTTCAATGTCTCCTGTAATTTCGGGTACACCCCTAACAAAAATATTCTTAGCCCGGTTAATGCGATCAACTGCTTCATTTGCTATGGTATCTGTAAATTTTGGAGATAAGGAATGATCCTCAATAGATAACTTGTTTTCGATCTGTAAAAGTCTTTCACTGATATCATTAGCTTTTTGGTCTATTAGATCAATTTTTGATTGGAGATTCTCTTTTAGATCTTTTAAGAGCGTCTTTAAATTAGCAAAGTTTTCGATATTAGAGCAGCAGTTGTTGCAAAGAATTTTAATTCCGCGTAGCTTATGCCTAGTAACGCGATCTTCGGCTCGTAGATCAGTGCAAGCTAAATGTATGTTCTGTTTACATGCTTCACATTGAAGTTGTTTTGATGATTCTCGATCATCGATTGACTTTGAACAGTTAGCGCAGGTCGACATGGTGGGAACAGCAGAGCAGCAGTGGGAGTGAGTCGCCGTAAATAGATATAAACAAAATAAAAAGACTGACCTTGCAATCTGTAGATAATCCAAAATACGGGATCTCTGATGCACTTTATGACGAAATATAAACACCACTGGCAGTAGAAAATTCTTATGTTTAAACTGATATAAAAATGATCGTTAAACTCAAACAATAACAATAACAATAACAATAATAATTAGAAACATCTGAAATTTTTTTAAATGCCAGTTTTAAAAAAAAATCTGAGTGTGTGTTTAATTTTGCACCCCAGCAAAAATTATACTCTTCACGGTAGTACTCTTTAACTATTAGTTGCTATATATACTATGAGATGTCAATAGGTGAAAAAAGTAATCTAGTTTAATCTATTTTTTAACTGATTAAAAATCTCGGCTAAAATATACATTTTCCTAACGAATACGAACATTTTTTAGTCCAAAACTAATTTTGCCGTAACCAACCACCCGTTGGATTTACCTAGAAATAATTTCCCTTTATTAGTTTACCTGAATTCTGCGCTTCCGCCCATATGAACGCTCAGCAGAGGCGGTGAAATTTCGACGTGCAACGTCGTAGAAACTATTAGGCGCAGTTCAGCACTGGATTCGCCTCCTGCATTAGAAGCCGAACACCGGTAGACGCCACCTGTAATTAGAGAAATACAGATGCTGCATTAAAGAAGATATCATTCTTAAAGGTTTTCGTCACATTAATATATTAAAACATTTATTTTCTAGTGCTTAAGAGGTCGTTGATTTAATACCTTAACGCAAAATGTATAATTTATTTTTAGTTCAGGTTATTTTGAATGTTGTCATAATAAAATTCGTTTTATTATGAATTGTAAAAAATATATAAGATGTCTCTGACTACTTCATAGATGAGCATTTTTAATAATCTGCTACATATTGTTTATTTACTATTTACAACGAAAACTGTCCTAACTCAAAATCACTCATTCTGGGATAATTTCGTTTAAAACTAATTGTGCGCTGCTTGAATTGAACACTGCTATTGTTCAGATTTGGGAAAAGTTTCTTGATCTGTAGAGCACTCTGGTAGAATGTCTTCACTAGCAGGCTGCAGGAAGTTAAAAAACCCATGGTATACGTATCAACTAGCCTCTAACGTCCATTGCTGAACATAGGCCTCTCGCATGCTTTTCCACTTAGTCAGATTTTGCGCCATCTGAATTCAATTTGTAGTCACTCGTTTTATGTCATCTGTCCATCTCGTTGGAGGTCGACCTCTATTTCTGTAAGCTTTTATTCGGAGTCTCCATTCCAAAATTATTTTTGTTCACCGGTCATCAACTGATCTTGCTACATTACCTGCCCAGTTCCACTTTAGTGTTGTTATCCTTTCAATAACGTCTGCTACTCCTGATTTTTTGCGTATAGTAGCATTGGGTATCCTATCACGTAGAGAAATCCCTAACATTATTCTCTCCATTGCTCTTTCCGCAAATTGTAGTTTACTTCACTGTTGTTACATTGTACATCACTGGCAAAATACTTTTCTTTTCAGACACATTGGAATCTTAGACCTAAAAATATCCTTCATCTTTCCAAATGTAGCCCAAGCGAGGTTTATTCTTCTTTTCAGCTCGATTGTTTGGTTGTCTCGACTTATTCTGATCTCATGGCCCAAGTATTTATAGAATTTATAGCATTTATAGGAGTCAACTGGTTCAATATCTTTGTCTTCTACTGAGATGTTTTTGTTGTGGACTAAAACCATGGTATATTTCTGGTATAAAATTGGCTTTACATAAGCTTAATAGACCATTTAATTTTTTAGTAGTTTATATTCTTGGAGTTTATGTAATTTTGATGTTGCGATGTCAAGTTCTTTGTAATTTTCTGTAAAACTGTAGGTAAAATTATAAGAATTCTTCGGTTCGAAGTAAATTTCCCTAATTTTACTTATCTTTACCACCTCCGCAGTGTTAGTTCTCTTACAGTTCTGTTTCTAAACCATTGGTTTAAAACTTAAAAATTCTTCTTGTGACGTTTCTTTCACTCTATACTGTGGGGAAGTAATTTTGCAATCTTTGTGAAGCTAACCCACTGGTCAGGAGTATAAATATTCGAATGTCGTTTCTTTGCCACTTCTATTCCAGCGTGCATGCTGTCATTTTCGATCTTGTTACAACCCATCTCAAGGAAGCAGTGTGTTATTTTCAGATCCAAAGTCACTGATGCATGAGCAAACATCGAAAAAATAAAACGATTGTGGTGTTGCCCTCTGCAATTGTCGGAGTATATCACGACTTTTCAAATGCCATCTTGTTTTGCACCTTTTAAAAAATGCCATAAACAAATTGCAATTTCATTCGGTCCCCTTCTTGATATTTGTTCATGCCTTATGTAACAATATCCTTAATTATTGTCCAAGTCGTAAATAGTAAAATTATAAGTTCCAAGCTTACTCTTATAATAAAAGTTACCTACCTCTGACTTGGGCATTCTAATACCTTCTGCAAATCGAAGCATATTGTTAAAAACAATTTATTACTTTTATTTATGTTTCTAATGAAAGCCCTAGATCTACAAACCTGTTAAGCTCTCTAAATTTAATTCTTATTTTGGTCTAAGGAAAAGACTTACCGTCCTCGGTATTGACTGCTTCAATTGCTAATACAGGTCCCAATTGGCGAACTCTAGGACCAGGAATAATAAGGCTAGGCTCCAGACCTGCATGATTGTACCACCTTAAAAAAATAGAAATAATAAGCTTTGACAATGTTTTTTTTTCATTGTTATTCGGTTTTTCTATGTTAATGTGCTGAAAAGTCGTGTGAATTATTTTTAGTGTATCGTTAGTTACAAAAATGTTACATGTTTTTTTACAAGAATCATTTTAAAGTAATTTTTATCTCGAATATGTAATAGTTTTAAATCTTTTTTTGGATCAATTCAATAAAATGTGGCGATTATTATTATTGTTACGAACATACATTCGGCGTGGCCCATGTAACGGTTGCATCTCGAAGTGACGAGAAGCTTCCAGATATGTATCGAGCGCGGGAGATATCGACCCGTCCAACAGGCGAATTAGAGGTGGACCACGTACTGTTTTCACACTATTTTCGTACTGTAAATTTATAATTAAATATAATTATATAATTACAAGGAAAAGTGGAAGGAAAGAGATGGATTGGTCGAAAGAAACTTTCATGGCTGCGTAATATTAGACAATGGTGTGGTTTCACAGTAGAAGAATTATTTCGCGCAGCAGCCGACAGAGAAAGGTTTCAGGAAATTGTAAGCATGATGACGGCCAACGTCTGAATACGGACACGGCACCCAAAGAAGAAGATATAAATTAAGAACCACTCGTTTTATTTCAAAACGGTACAGTGGTGTCCGGTGTGAATTTTAAAATTAAATTCAGCAGTAGTTACTAAATAAAAAAAAGACTTTTGAACTTTTGAAAATTATTGTTCGTCGGTAACAGCCGCGTAGTTCGGTAGTGCTCTTTGTAAAAAAAAAGAACATTTAAAAAGTACGTGTGTGCCTGACCAAAGATGCTGCTGGTAGAACTTTAAGTAAAACAGTTGCGTGAGCAACTAGAACAACGTGATGAAGACTGTTTTAAGAAGCAGTTTTAACGAAAATAAAAAATGTGTGGCCAATGATTAAAGAAACTTCTAGAAAAAATGATAATAAGTTTAAAAATGTTTCTAGAAGATTCGGCGAGAAATTTTAAAATGTCTCGCAAATAATTGAAGAGATTTTAGAAAGAATGATGAAAGATTCGATAAAACATCTCAAATTATTAAAGAAGCAGCTAGACAAAATGACCAGAAATTCGAAAATGTATCTAAAAGTTTCGACGAGCTTTAGATCCGGTAGTGAAAGAAGAATCACCTAGAGACGAAACGACACATCATATGAGATTTGAATTGCCACCATTTGATGGAAAGTCTTCTTGGTCAATTAGACCAGAACAAGAAAAGGCTGTTTCCTTGACTGCTGCTTTACGAGATAATGCTGCAGATATCCTAAGATCGGTTCCTAAGGGCCAAGAAAAATGTTACCAGACCTTGTTCACTCGACTAGGCAAACGTAACGGAGATGCCCATATATACCAAGTGTAAGACGCAACTAAGAAGTAGAATTCAACGAGCAAGTGAAAATTTGCAAGAGTTTGAAGCAGATGTTGCTCGCCTAGTGCGGTTGGCTTATCCGGAGGTACCAGACAACATTTTGGAAGAAATTGCTGTAGATATCTTCAGAAAGTAATAAATATATGAGGCGCTCCGAGAAAAAAGGGCGAATACGCCAGTTACAGTTTTTTTTTAATGCAATGGATAGCCTGATCATTATTCGAACAATGTACCACCATAACATGGTTTATTCGTCCTTTCTATTCAGAACTATAATAGGTTGACTTAACGGAAGCAAACTGTATAAATCTTAAAAAATATGGTAAATGTTCCGTGGAACAACGGCGAATACGCCACCGCTACGTCGGTACACAGCTAGCCCTCCCACTTCTGTCTTGCCAAATTTCTGAATAAAATTTCCGTGATTTCCGTCTTATTTTTACCGTTTTAAGCTACAGTGTCGTTTTGCTTGTCAAAACAAGTAGTTTTTATTTTGATTACTTTTAATAGTTTGAGTTACTTTACTAATAAAGTTAAAATTTTACTGCTACAATGTCAGAAAGCGAGTTTACAGAAGACCAAAACAAAGGCTACACTAGAAAAAGGTCGAAAACTGAAGACACGTGGCAAAAGAATGTGAATAAAGTTAAAAGAAACTCAGGTGAAGAATACAGCACCATTAAAAACAGAAAACTTGTGCCTAAGCGGACTGTGGGAAGTTCCTGTTCCCGTGGATGTTTTGAGAAAGTAGGTTTGGAGAAAATTAGTATAATTTTTAAAAACTTTTGGGAATTATCTGAGTATAACCTACAAAACACTTATTTATCTAAAAGAGTGAAATCTGTTTCTGTCAAACGTTGTCGCATTAAAAATCGACCTAGTCGAAAGTTACGTAGTATTGAGTACAGTGTACTTTTTGAAAGCAATGAATTTAAAGTCTGCAGAAAAGCATTCTATGCGATTCATGGTGTCACTGAAAAGAGGGTTCGAACTGTTTTGAATAAAGTATCCACAAGTGGCACTGTAGAATTGGACAGAAGAGGAAATAAAAATCCAGTTAACAAAGTAAGTGTAGAAATGAAAGAAACTGTAATGTTACATGTAAATAGTTTACCCAAATGTTCAAGCCATTACAGCAGAGCAAAAAGCCCTTACCGAAAGTACCTTTCCACAGACTTAAACATAAACAAGTTGTATGACCTGTACTGTGAGTGGATGACAGAAAATCACCCTTTAATTGAACCTGCCAGCTCACGATTCTATCGTGACACATTTAATAAAAAATTCAATATTGGTTTCAACCCTCCTAAGTCGGATACTTGTAATTTTTGTGACAAAACAGATATGGAACTTTCAAATTGTGATAATTTACAACGTAACCAATTACAAATTGCCAAGGAACTTCATTTAAGACGAGCCAAAGCAGTTCAAAAAATACTTAAAAGTTATAAAAGTAATAATGAAGACTCAGTTTCAGCAATTTGTATAGATCTGCAGCAAACTCTCCCTACCCCTAAACTGACGACATCCGTACAGTATTACAAAAGGAAGCTTTGGACCTATTTTTGCAGTCCATGATGTTAAATCTGGAAAATGTGTTATGTACATGTGGAATGAAAGTACTGGAGGTCGTGGTTCATGTGAAATAGCAAGCTGCTTGTCCCATTACTTTGATTCTATGGATTATCAAGTCAAAAAATACTATATTGACTTAATTCGTTCATCAAGGAAGGTCAGACCATTCAAAGTAGTAAAAATGACATCATCAATGTTTTTTGATTTCACTACTCTTCAGAAGTTAATTACAAAAAGAAAATCAACTGCTAGTTTTAAAGATGGTAAAGTATTTCTTTACTCCAAGTTGTTCAAACAAGGGTTTTCCATACAACCAACGTACCAAAATGTTTTGTCCGAACAAGTTGTTTTGCAGTAGGAGAATATCAACGCCATTTGTTTGATTTATCTGCCGCAGTTTTGTCTCCTAAATACCAACAGCCTATAAAACTTTCAGAGGAAAAAATAAAAGACATCAAGTCACTTCTTCCATACATACCGCTTCATCATAGGAGTTTCTTTGATGAGCTGATCTCTCTCCAAGAATCACAAACCAATTTGGCAACGCTAACTGGAGAAAGTCAGGATGATGTTATGGATTTTTGCTTGAATTAATAATTTATTGTTTGGTGTTTTTTTAGTTTTTGATTTATCTTAAACAGAACAATTTTTAATTAAAAAATGTTTTTCATATCATATCCTTTGAATAAAACTTTTTTCAATATCCTGAATTATAATTTTGGTTTAGATGGGGTGATCTTATTTGCTTAACAAGCAAAACTTTTTATAAAAAAAATAGTTTTTACCTAACCGCATTACAAAATTTTGATGACGTGTATATTCGCCCTTATTGAATTAAAAACACTTTTTCAACTTTAATCGCGTTTTTCTCCAAATGCCCATTTGGCGTATTCGCCGTTTGTCCACGGAGCGCCTCATATAATAATATTGTTATATTAATTATTAATATATAATATACAACTAATCAATACTCTACAAACAAATAAACTGGAATACCTAAGCCACGTAGCAGGAACAAAATATGAAATTTTGAGACTCATATTGCAGGGAAAAATTCAAGGAAGAAGATCTCTAGGCCAAAGACAGAAGTCTTGAATGAAGAATTAATGTGATTAGTATCAATGTCGGTCGATTGATTTGTTTAGAGCAGCAGGTTCAAAAATAAAAATACCCATTATGATTGAAGACTACCCCCGTAGGGAGACGACAATCTAAAAGATATTAGAATCATAAAATATGAGGAAGAGCTCACGCACAACCATCAAAGAATACAAAAGAATTGGAGTGAGTTACAGAAGAGTCAAGCAAAGAGGGAAAATAGAGAAAAATCTTATTTTAAAGAGACAATGGTACATTTAAAAGCAATGTAGTGACTTAGTTATAATGATTAAGAATACATCACTACGGTTAAAGATATTAGCTTAAAAACAAATGAGAGTACCTAATTTTTGTTTATAATTGCATACAAACCGCCTGTTTGTAAAAGCATACTGCTATTTGTCCTCTGAAAGCTTCTGAATTATCTAGAAACTAACAAATATATCTACCTAGGCCAAATTTTGAAACTTAATAAAGAAAACCAAAGTGCGGAAATCACTAGAAGAGCAAGACTGGCATAGGCAGAATTTGGAAAACTTAGTTGGATACTGAAGAACCGCAAAATACCTCAGTACTTGAAGAGCAAAGCGTTTAACCAATGCATCCTTCTATCATGACATATGGATGTCAAACCTAGACCCTAACTAAGGTAAATATGAATTGCAATAGAAAGGGCACAACAAATGAAATTCAAATTAAAAAAGGAGTTAGACAAGGATGTGTGCTGGCACCTATACTATTTAATCTCTATTCGGAGGAAATTGTGAAGAAAGCACTGAAGGAAGAAGATATTGGGATAAAAGTTAAGGGGCCAACCAATTAATAATATTGGATATGTCTCACTCTATCACCTAAAACGACTTTAAAGTGATTTACCAAGTGATCTGAAAAGTGCTATGAACTATAGTAAATGTAATAAAGTGACCAAG